ATTTGCTCAAGAGATCAAAGAGCCTATGACGAGTTCTCAGTAGTCCAACTTCGTCAATATGACCTATGTCGAAGAAGTGCTAGAACTCATCGATAGGCAAGTCCAAGTCAAAGAAACTACTAAGATTGAAGAATCCCACCATCATGTGAATTGCATTTGGAGAACACTGGGTAGGAGCGCACTTCATGGAGCGAATTACCTCTGGGAAGAAGTGTGGCATGGTAGTAAGGATGAAACTTGATGGCTTTATTAGGAAACCCATTGCATGGTTCATGGCTCTTCATTTGCACGCTTCATGCGGACCCTAAACATAATCGCCTGCTTGTACACCTCGTGGAAGTCCTTGAACAACTATTCAAATTGGTCTTAATATGAGCAGCCTTGAATTAGCCCACATTACTAGAAGATCATCCTTGACGATACAAAGGCGAAGGATACCCATCACTTTTACAGCTTGGAAGAGACATATTCAGAAAGTTCCTACAAAAGTGCAAGGAAAAAAAAATATTAGATGATTGCCCAAAAAAAAAAAAAAAAATGAAAACACAAGTAGAGCAGCGCGTTAGGTCACCCCACGGACTAGGCCAGCACGCCAAATGCCCCAACGCGCCAAGAGGCTTAGCACGCCAGACACTGCTCTCAGTCTCCCTTGGCACAAAGGCCTTCACGACCTAATCCAACAGGAAAAAGAGGCTGGTGCCCTAACACCTCGCTCATTCTTTTTCTTTTTCGCTGGCACAATCTTAAACCCAGCCTGCCTTCTTAGTACCCCAACACTTCTTCGGCTTGAGTTGAGCCGGTACTTGGCGTAAGCCAGCCAATCTGCGCTGCGTCGAGCCAACACCTCGACTCCCATTCGAGCCATCATGTCTGCATCAACCCCAAGCTACTCCTTGCAGAAACCGTGGCTTCCCAGCCAATTTTATTCAAATCCTCGGCCCCTGCTAAGCCAAAATTTCAAGCTTCGGAGTTTCAGAAAATTAAGAAAAAGAAAAATTAAATTTTTTCTTACCTTGGTGTTTCGCAGAGAAGAAGAAAAGCAACGAGAAACAATTCTTTGCATAGGAAAGCGAAGAAAAAGGCTAGGGAAGGGGGAATCAATTTTTCCTCTTGCTTTTTCTCTTTCTTGTAGGGATAAAAATTGCTCTCCAAATTTATTTAACTCCCTACTTAAGGTAGATTTAAATAGGTTTTGGAGGTAACTTGTTTCCCTTTCCTAGAAGAATTTATCTCTAAGTCAAAGTAGAAGATCTACATCAAATTGGGAAATAACTCTCTACTTACTTAAGCAGCTTGGGATTTCTATACCAACTGGCCTTTTCTGCCAACATGCCAGCAGGTGTGGGAGCATTTGTGGAGCAAAAAATAATCCCAAAAATCCACAAGGCAACACATGGACCTTTACCCAAGAAAGACAAGATTCCCTCATTAAATGGGCAAGGTTCTTAAGCGTCCCCATGCGCAACTTAACATCCCTGGAAGTTCAAGCAGCAGACTATGACTGTTCAAACCTCCCTTGCTCGTGGCAAGGAAAAATCAAGGGCATTAAAGTTAGGATTAATTATTAAATCCTATCTTTAATACATTTCCAATTGAAAATCAACTCCATCAAGTAAGAAATCCTTATTGCAATCAATTAGGAATACTTTCATCACTATCCCAAGATATTATCTCCTAACTAATATCTTGGGAATATTCTTACCTCATTCATCCAACGGATGACACACCATGGCCAATAGGATGCCGCCATGTGTAGGGTAAAACCCTAACACCTAGGCCGGCCACACCTTCCTATAAATACCTCCGTTTCCACCAAATTGTGGTAAGCTTTTCGCCATACAGAAAACCTTCAACACTCACTCTTTTCAGGGAAATTGTGAGGTGTTAACTACATTGCAATGTTTGGGAATTGAAGGAAAAATCAAGAAGAAATGATGAACAGAAGGATGAACACAGAGATATGAGAGAGAGAGAGAGAGAGAGAGAGAGAGAGAGAGAGAGGAGAGAGAGAGAGCTTAGAGAGAGAAATATGATTTGTATTAATTGACTAAATGAAGATTACACACACTGTTTTCTAACCAATGATGCAATATCAAAACCTATTTCAAAAGCAAAAGTTGAATATGAGAGTCAACCACACCAGCAACGAACACTCTATTTCCTCTCAAATCAATAGGCAATCCTGGTAGTGGAGTGTTCTCAGCTGCTTTTGACATTGCTCTTGTGACAACCTTCACGGATTTCGCAGACCCTGATTTCAAGCTCTGGAAGAATGGCTGTGTTGCTGAGATGTGTGAAGAACTCTCAAGCCTTGATTAGCCTCTTATAAAGTTGTAACACACCCTCATGCCGGTTATAACAATTTCTTGTGGGATTACCCTTCATAGGATTTACTGTCAACAACTTCATTCAACATTGGCTTCAGCCTTTAAAAACATAAAATTAACAAATTATAGTGTGGCATCGACCTTAACTATAGTACCATAGGATCACCCCTTGTGGATTTTACCCAAAAACAACTACTCCTAAATGGCATTGACCTTCACAATTTCAATAATAGAAAATCAACATCTATGTAGGATTACCCTTCGTGGGATTTACCTATTCACACCACAGAATTACCCTTCGTGGGATTTACCGGTAACAACTTCTTCTACCCTTCGTGGGATTTACCTATTCACATCATGGAATTACCCTTCGTGGGATTTACCTATTCACATCATGGAATTACCCTTCGTGGGATTTACCGTGTACAACTTCTTCAAACTTCATTGTATAACCAGACTTACTGTAGATTCATGCTAACAACTGAGTTGGTTAGACTCGACCTTATAGGCTGTGAAAGGAAATATATTGCACAAACTCCTTAATAAGATGCATCTTTAGCTTTGAAACTCTTTCCTCGCCAAGCTTTTCAACAATTGATCTGGCAATTTGATTCCCACTCTTACTATAGGTTGTCAGTACGACAACAGGTACTCTTTTCTTGTATGCATCATCAATAAACTCTTCAACTCCAAGTCTCCATTGCAATTTTCTTCTTTTGCAGGACATTTTTCACAAATCACTCCTTAGTTGTGAAAGGAAAAGCACTTTGAACAATCTTCGCAGACATTACACTTCTCATTTTGGCACAAACCATAATTTGAACAACCACAAAATTGTACATGCCAGAATTCAAGAATTCACACCCATTTCTCCAAATATATCAAGAGTTTCACAAAGATCAAACCCAACAAACTTGCAGAATATCAGTGAAGCAGAGAAAGAACTAGACACTACCATACAAATTGCACAATCCAACAATGACCAATATTCTTGAATCCTAATATCCCAAATATCACAAACATTGATCTTGACACAATGAAGAATCTTCAAAGAAAATATCACAAACAACTGGAAGAACTCATAAAAGATTCACAAGAAAGATAGCTCTGAGCTCTTTAATACTCAACATATCAACTGAATGACTTCATGCCCACAACAACAAACTAATTGATTTACAAAATATTGAAAGAATCATCGTAAGAAATTTAGAAGAAGTGGTTGAAAAACTTAACCTTCACATGAAAATTCTGAGCTGGGTATTTCGACAAACACTTGGACTACACAAAGGTCTAAACTCTCTTCCACAGTAGAGAGCAGAGCACATATCAAATTCGCAGACAATATCGAAAGCACTGAAGAAAAAACACCATAAATTGATGACCAGAATCATTATAAGCCAATAAATGCTCCAATGCAGTGACATTCGCATGGAAAGATTGCAGACCATCATGTATAGAACTATGGAATACAACAGCAACAACCCCAGATCGAAAGCAGATGGGGCGATTATTACGAATTGCAGAGAGCCAAAGGTCATGAACGACATGACCACCCAGAGGCAGCACTCAACTGTGGTGAGGTTTGCGGTGGTGAAGGAACAATGGTCGTCGTCTTCCTCCCAAAGCATTGACATTTATTTGACATTCCATCTTCTTTCGAGGTGAAGAACTTGATGAAAATCTGAAAAATTCCTGAATTTAAGAACGAAAAATTCAAGAATAAAAAATCAACCTAGAAGTTACAGGATGGTCGCGGAAGCACCGAAGAACTTGACCGAATTTCTGAAGAAAATTTGAAGAGAAAATACAACTAGAAGATGAAATCTAATAAAAAAACGGAACCACTAGAATCCATGGCATGAGCCTGGTGGCTTTGATACCATGTTAACTACATTGCAATGTTTGGGAATTGAAGGGAAAATCAAGAAGAAAGGATGAATACAGAGATATTAGAGAGAGAGAGAGAGAGAGAGAGAGAGAGAGAGAGAGAGTTTAGAAAGAGAAATATGATTTGTATTAATTGACTAAATGAAGATTACATACACTGTTTTTATAAAAGAAATCCTAACTACTTTAACCAAATACTAACAACCTTACTAACTGTATGTGTAATTGTTTTGTTGACTTGTACCCTTAATATGAGGCTTTGGTCTTTGATTAAAAGTGTTGATTGTTTTGTAAGTACTTTTTCATCAAAATTGAAGATGACAGAAATTTGCTACCACAATAATCACTCCCCTTTACAACTAACACATTATTTCTTTGTTCGGGAACAAATAGATTGAAGTCAAGTTTGACCTGCAGTATATAAAATAGGTGGTGCGTAGTCATCACTCCCCTATTAATTGGCATATATTGTTTCTTGTTTGGAAAGAAATAGATTAACGTCAAGTTTTGTACATAAAATAGGCACAAAATGGGGTGGATGCATGATGATAAGACAACAAGTCAAAGAGAACAAGTCTTCGTTCTTGTTGCTGGAGGGAAGTTGCCAAGTTGAATTGTTCCAACTCATCTGCTCCTAATGATGGCCCACTTTTATTAACCACTCACGATCAGTCGTTTCGAATTTCTCTTTCACTTTCTTCAGCAGAGAGATTCGTTTAGAACTCTTCTCCTGGGTCAAAATACAATCGCAGTCTAAACCGAAAACCAGTTTAAATTGGTAGCATTGAACCCAATAGAATTACAAACCAATATTATTGATCTTATCTAAAACTTCATACGATCGACTTGCAGTAAAGAAATCAGTGAGAAATGTCGGAGCTGTTCATAAAACAATCAAAGCAATATGCCGAGACTCGGCCATGCTACCCCGAAGAGCTGTTTGAATACATTGCCTCCAAGACCCCTTGTCACGACCTCGCATGGGATGTCGGCACCGGCAGTGGCCAGGCTGCCCGATCCGTAAGTTTCTCTTCTTTCCAACATCTTCCTTTCACTTCTTGCGGTTTACACATAGATCCATTATAGCACAAATTTAAGCTTTAGGTCATCTGAAACCTTTTTGTTCTGTATTGTGTTTTTGCCTAGGTTTGCCGAGGCACCTCCTTCACTATATATTTTGGGTGGTGGTATCTGCACACTATTTTTTACTTTCCAAACACCATCTGTTAATTTATGTCATTTAATCTTGGGAGACTTTGGATGCGGTCTTTAGTTATGAATATTCTTTTATTGAAACATTGTTGGTTTTTAATTTTTGATCGAGGTCCCTAAAATTAATGTGATAATTTATTTTTATGTACGTTACTATATTTTTGAAATTAAAAATTAGAAATTTTAGTTGTTTATATAAATGATATTTTAAATTAAAAAAACCATAATTTGAGGGATTAAAAATATTAAAAAAATAAATATACTATTGTGTGTGTATATACATAAACATGGGTACATTCATCAAAATTAACCAAAAAAATTATTGTTTCAAAACATGGGTATTTCTTGTTCTTTCATGAATATCGAACCGTAACAAGTAACATGCTAAACTAAATTGCAGCTAGCCGGGATCTTCAAGAATGTGATAGCCACAGATACAAGCCAAAAACAACTCGAGTTGGCACCCAAGCTGCCCAATATTAGCTACGAACACACCCCTCCTGTCATGTCAATAGCCGAGGTTGAACAAAAGTTGACACCAAAATCAAGTGTTGATCTGGTGATCGTTGCTCAGGCCCTCCATTGGTTTGACCTCCCCAATTTCTATCAACAAGTGAAACATGTACTGAAGAAACCTAATGGTGTCCTTGCAGCATGGTGCTATACAGTGCCTAGGGTTAACAGCATTGTAGACACCGTCTTTGATCGTTTTTACACCGTTGATTCTGATCCTTACTGGGATCCAGCACGTAAATTGGTTGACGACAAGTATAAGAGTATCGAATTTCCATTTGAGCCGGTGGACGGAGAAGAGAACACAGGACCATTTGAGTTCGTGACAGAGCAGTTAATGGATTTGGATGGCTTTTTTACATACATAAGGTCATGGTCTGCATATCAGACGGCAAAAGAAAAGGGTGTTGAGCTCTTGAGTAGTCATATGATCGAGGCATTTAAGCAAACTTGGAATGAAGGTGGAGATCATGGTCAGAAGGTTGTCAAGTTTCCAGTCAATTTAAGAATTGGAAAAGTGGAGAAGCAATATTAAGCTTTCCTATTTCTAGTTTCTCACGTAAGGTCGAGAGCCTGTCTTTTCACAATATTAGAAAAGTGGGGAACTAAGATTTAATTTCAGAGGCATCATGGTCAAATAATTATTTGCCACATGTTCAAAAAGTGATTTGAAGAGAAACAACATTATGTTTTTTTCCTACTTTATTGCTTAAATAAATGTGGTTACTTTTTTTTTCTTTTTTAACAAATAATATTATCTATACTAAAATAGTGGGGAAGTAGGCTAAGCTTCACAATATGTTAGCAATAATGTGGTTTAAATTCTTCTATATCGAGAATCGAACCTTAGACCTCTGACTTATAAGTGAAGATGAATATCACTAGACCGTATGAGAGAGAACGTGGGAGTAGGGAGAGAGGTTTAATTTAATTTTTTTTTAAATTAGAGATGTTAAAATCACATGTAGGTGATGCTTAAACAAAAAATAACAAAACTTTGTTTGGTGAAATTACATTACTACCCTTAATTTTTTTTGTTGTGATAAAAGACTAAGTAGTCATTTCACCTTCTTTTGGTTGACAATGAAAGTTCTATTAATATGTAGTTTAGATGCTAACGAGTGCGTGTTGTCGTGGCAGTACTTGCAACCAAACAATCCTCGAAAGACTCAAGTTTGAGATAAAAAAAATTATACTCTAATAGAAATCCCATCAAATTTTCTCTAATTAATTACCGGAATCCATCACCAAAAGATGTAAAAAAAATGGAAATATAGGTTCTAATTAATAATATCGATTATTAAAAAAAAAACATTTTGTATCTCCTATTGGAGATGCTCTAAAAAACAACTATGCAAATGAGCTTAACTACAATGATGAAAAACAATAATTGCCTATACATCATTTCTCACCAATTTAGTTAATATTTTGGCACTCACTAAATTTCCAATCAAATATTTGGTGGAATCAATTTGACTATATGAACCATGTGCCATTTTTTAGTTTTGTGTGTTACGAAGCTTTTTAACATTGAACAAAATATAATAATAAAATTGAATACTGATACTTTAGAAAGGGACAAAATGAAAGTGCCACAAAAATATTGGTTTTGCTACGTTTTTTTGTGTGGGTTTTATAGTTTTGGTGATATTATGGGTCTTGGTGAGGGATTGAATTGGGTTCGAAGGTTTTTATTTGTTGAGGGAGGCGGGGAGTGCACAGAGAGCTAGAGGTGTGTGATTTGCAGAAATAGGGACTTGAGGACGAGAGAAACAAAATAGGAAGAATGCAAGACAAAAACGGATTGGATTCTTTTGTGCTTAGATGTTTTTTAAATTGATTTAGGCTTTTGTTTGGAGAAGACAACAGTTGTTGACACAGAGAGTTTGGTTCTTGGTGTCTGAGAGAGGGACCTGGATTCTTCTTTAAAGAGCAAAGAGACCTTTGAGACGGGGAATTGGGTTCGTGGTGTCTGAGAGAGAGAGTTGGGTTCCAGTTTTGTGCCCTTTTTTTACCTATTTGTTTGCTCTTAGTTCGCATTTATCATTTGTGTTTTCAATTTTTTGTTTGTTTGATCTCTTATATGAATATGTTTTGTTCTTTGTTTGCAATCGTGATTATTAAAGTGATGTGTGTTTGTGTTTGTCGCAGGTCTAATGTATTGGAAATGCTTTGACTGATCAGGGGATGTAAGTGATAAGGTAGTGGGCTCAAAATTTTTAGTATAATTTCTTTTTAATTCTGTATTCATGTCGTATAACTGCTTAATTCAAGTTTGGCATGTCGGTTTTTATATTATTTTCGAACTTGAATGACTTCGTAGTATTAAATTGTTGGTGGGGGTTGAAATGAAGGTGAAAATATGATGTGCTTTGTCCAGCAATTATGTTTGCACCTTTTGAATTTCTTTCCTTATATATAGGTTTAATTTAGATATTCATGCATACTTTTTTTCTCCGGATAGCGTATTGTGTGTGGACAGCCTCTGAGTGGAAAGGTTATATGTCATTCAATAACATGATGTTATCGTGGTTGTGGCTGGGTATATGATGGCCCAAGTGATGCCACGTGAGAAGATATCAGTTTTGTGGACGCATGAATTATGGTCTAATAGTTCTATTTTTCGGATTTCCTCCCTTATATGTAGATTTCGTTTAGTATGCGATAGCCCAGGTGATGCCACCTGAGAAGATCTTGATTCGGTGGAGGCATCAATTTTGGTCTAATAGTTCTATTTTTTTTTTCCTTGCTTATATCTAAGCTTCACTTAGATATTGTTGCATACGTCTTTTGTCTGGATAATATACTATGCGTGCATAGCCTGTGAATAGAAGAATTATATATCCTCAAATAATACGATGTTATTGTGCCTATGGCCAGCTATGGTACGGTCCATGTGATGTGACCTAAGAAGATCTTGACTTTGTGCAGCTGTAAATTTTGGTTTAATAGTTTTGTTTTTGACATGATGTTATTTGTTTCTTGAAAAGTAAGCACGCAGTAAGAAGACTTTAATATTGTTTGTTGGCGTGGTTAGTTCTTTTGGGTGCAGATTACTATATAGAGCTTAGGATTTAGGTTTTTAGTCATGTGATGGTCAAATGCTTTATTGATTAATTGGTTAAGTATGCGGTGCTCATTTGAGGCTATACAAACTAAATTTGTTATGCGTACGCTCAAATTTAAGTAAGAATCGTGAATCTCTAATCCTTTCTTGTTCTTATTTATTGCGGTTTCACATTATTCTAAAGTTATATTTATGGAAAAGCAAAAAATGAGTTTCCACCTATGCCACCTGAGAAAGATAGTAGTCTTTTGTTTTTTTGTTAACTTATTAAAAATGACTTGCTAAGCATTTTTCTTTTTGGTTTATGCATTTATAGTGTGGGAAAGTAGCTGATTATCTTCTTTACCCTGCTTTTTGCTGCTTGCACAAGTGCTTGACATTTTGTTCCACTTTCTGTAAGTAATGTTTTAGTCTTTGTAATATCTGGTGTCTTCTTTAGTTTGGCTTTTGCAACCATTACTTTGCTGCTTTCGTAAAATGTTGAGTGTTTGATAATAGTTGTTGTATCTCATCTGTTAACGCGTGTTGATTTGTGTTGCTGTCATAATGTCAAGTGTATTTCTTTGTGAAATTTAGTTGTTTAATTGCTTTTAGTTGACTTATTTCTTTTTAGAGTCCTTTGTGTTTTGGGAGTTTGCAGTATATGTTGTGGTTATCAATTTTGTAACAGTGATGTTGGAAACTATTTAACAATTTGCTGAATTAGGAATGGAACAAATCACTCCTTTCGTATTTGTTTTCAAGTTTGTATTACGGTGATTCTTAAGTTTATAAAATTTGTATAACGCTTTGGGCATGTTAAATGGAGGCTGTAAAGGTGACCTCTATTGCTCAATTGCACCCGTACACTAAAGCAGACAAAATAAAGATTTGTATGTGTAGGGTATGAAAATTGAGCATTCCCGGAACTGTTCATAAATAAGTGACGCTGCACTGTATCTTGGTTGATGAAATGGTGAGTGGTCATTGTCTTATGATTTTAATTAGGGAGTTTAACTGTAATAGTTTTGTCATGGTTTTTTCCCATATATTAGTTTGTTAATTTATATTTAGACTGTTATATTTTTCCAGTTTGATTTTTTCACATGTGTGAAATGTTTTATTCTTAGTTCAGATGGTTTAGCTATTTTCAGTGAGTGTATTTGCCTGCTGTGGCAATTGAATCTATCTGTATCAAAATATAATATCTTTTATCGTCTGTTTTTTCATTACCTTTTTACCCTCTTTTTCTTTTGTTTTTTCCTTATTTATTTTTTGGGTGTGATCAATTATGAAGAACAATGCAGTTGAAGCCTCTACATTGGACATTGATTACAAATTTGTGACCTCAAAGATTGAGTCTGGTAGTTGCTATGAAATTATGAATTTTTCGCATGGTTAGAATCAGAGGGTAGTATAAAGTGGTACCGCATGATACCCAAGTAATATTCACCGCTAAGGTAGTGTTTAAAAAACTCTCTAGCGTGTTTCCACCCATCCCTCGACACACGTTCTTTCTTCTAGATTTTAACACGCTCTATCCCCGCCTGAATAGAGTTGATATTCTTACAGGTAATGTTAATACGTGAATATCTGTCTCTGTATATGTGTGTGTGTGTGCGCGAGCACATGTGCATGGATTAAAAACATTTCAGTTCTTTTTTGAGTGAAATGAGTTTTGACAAGTTTTTTGTATTAACTTTTTAAATTGTAAGATGTGATTGGCCATATAAATGTGGTCCAACACTTGGAACCAAAACAAATTCATCAAAGAATAGCAAAGAAGTGTGATATACACATTGAGAATATCAGGTTGTTCCTTTGTTTTGACCGCTGCAGTTCTAAATTCTTCACAGTATTTCTTCTGTTACGGTGGCAAAAAATTTCAGTCTTTGTTTCTAATTTGTTTTGTGCACAGAAAAGAAGGGTTGTGTGTTACGTTATGCGCAGATGTTGTAGAAGCTTTTTGTTCTTTATCGGTCCAGACGTTGTCTTTGCCGATTGTTGTTATGTTTACAAGTTTAAAAGTCATGCTCTACCTAGGTAGCTCATTTAACTGGAAACCCATTTTTTCTGTCTTTGTTTTGTTATCTTTTTGCATTACTTGGTATAAACTATTCCAGTGTTTTATGATTATGTGATTTTAGTTTATTGGGTTCATGTTCTTTATGGGAGAGTATTTGTTTCGTTTCTCATTCGTTAATTTGCTACTGTTTGACTCTGTTCATTACAATTTGTGTTTCATTTTTAGACGTACAGGCTGAAATTGTTTGACCAAACTTTTAAATCTATTCATTACAATTTCTGTCTCCTTTTAAACATGCATCATCAAATTCAAAATATTTACTAATGTTTGTTTTATATTTTCTTTTTGTTTTTTGGGATCCGTAGACAACATCATCTTGAATAGTACTGGCTCATCGCTTTTTTTATTGACCCAAACATTCTAGAGGTTAACTTATTCAAATCAGTGTGAGTGCATCTCTAAAACCGTGCTTCCTGTTTGAACCTAGAAAGATGCTACAACAACAACAACAACAACAAAGCCTTTTCCCACTAAGTGGGGTCGGCTATATGAATCCTAGAACGCCATTGCGCTCGGTTTTGTGTCATGTCCTCCGTTAGATCCAAGTACTCTAAGTCTTTTCTTAGGGTCTCTTCCAAAGTTTTCCTAGGTCTTCCTCTACCCCTTCGGCCCCGAACCTCTGTTCCGTAGTCACATCTTCGAACCGGAGCGTCAATAAGCCTTCTTTGCACATGTCCAAACCACCGTAACCGATTTTCTCTCATCTTTCCTTCAACTTCGGCTACTCCTACTTTACCTCGGATATCCTCATTCACAATCTTATCCTTTCTCGTGTGCCCACACATCCCATGAAGCATCCTTATCTCCGCTACACCCATTTTGTGTACGTGTTGATGCTTCACCGTCCAACATTCTGTACCATACAACATCTCTGGCCTTATTGCCGTCCTATAAAATTTTCCCTTGAGCTTCAGTGACCTACGACGGTCACACAACACGCCGGATGCACTCTTACACTTCATCCATCCAGCTTGTATTTTATGGTTGAGATCTCCATCTAATTCTCCGTTCTCTTGCAAGATAGATCCTAGGTAGCGAAAACGGTCGCTTTTTGTGATCTTCGCTAGATTGCTCCGGTCATTAGTGTGGATAAGTATATAAATGGATAGAGATAGGAAAGCAAACACCAGATGTACGTGGTTCACCCATATTGGCTACGTCCACGAAATAGAGGAGTTCTCATTAATTGTGAAGGGTTTACACAAGTACATAGGTTCAAGCTCTCTTTTAGCGAGTACAAGTGAATGATTTAATACAAATGACATTAGGAAATATTGTGGGAGAATGATCTCGTAATCACGAAACTTCTAAGTTCCGGAGTGTGGTATCGTCTTGACTTGCCTTATCTGTCTCGTAGGTAGATGTGACATCTTCTCTGGAAGTACTCTTCCTCCATCCAGGGGTGGTATCTTTAACTGGTGGAGATGCACAAGGTAATGTATCAATTTCACTTGAAGCTTACTTGTAGTTTCAGGCTTGGTCAAGCGCGATACCAACCATGTAGTAGGAGTCATCCAAGTCGCCGAGCTAGGGGATCTGCTGAAAGAGGTGACAGACAAGGTAAGCAATCAGAGCTCCAAGCAATCAGTCCCAGATCAGAACTTTGATTTCGAGTTCCGGCTGATTGTTCACATTCTCCCTATCTTGCAGGCAGCATGAAGGATAAAGAGAAGAAAAATGAGAAGATATGATATGGGATACTTTTGCTTTTGAAGAAGTAACTTTCCACAGGCTTATTCTTGAACTGGGCTGGAGGGTTTTCCGGTTTCCTCCAGAGTATAAGGCCGACTGAAGAATTTGAGGGTCAAAACAAGTCCATCAAATCTATAGTACGTTCGACCCTGCTGATATGGGATACTTTTGCTTTTGACAGAGTAGTGGATGTATCGGCACGTGTGCTGTTACGCTTGTCTCCACATGCTTCCTTGTATCCTTCTCACTTGCCCTATATGTTCCTCAGGCAGATGCGGTATCTTCCCTAGAAGCATAAGATGTTGAAGATGAGTACTCGAGAGCAATGCCAGGTAAGTAATCAAGTAAGGGGTTCCAGGCAGTCAGTTCCTGACTGG